AAAAAAAACAACACCTTGGCAGTACACTTGTTTGTCAACTAAATTAGTCCCATCTATGGACTTACGCAAGCCTCTAGTGCTTGGAATTCCAATTGTATCAACCTCTTCTAAGTTTAGGGTTATGTACATCAAAGTCTAATAATTTTCTTTTCTTCATAAAAATTGGACCTTCTTGTATTATGATCCTTGTCTATGTGGATGATATCATCATCACATGCACTAATCAGCTTGTAATTCAACAAGTCACTTCATAGTTACAATAATTATTTTTTTTTTTCTATCAAGGATCATGGTTGTCTGACATACTTCTTGGGCATAGATGTCTCTCATGTTCCTCTAAGTATGGTTTTGAGTCGAAGCACGTACCTTACAGATAAGCTTAACAAATTTGAAATGAAAACTGTCAAGGTGTTAATTCACTCATCCCTTGTTGTCTAAATATGATGGTGCACCCTTCGAGAATCTTACTCTTTTTCGGAGCATTGTAGGTGCACTCCAATATGCCACTATCACTAGGTCTGAAATCTCATTTTGTGTCAATAAAATCAGCCAGTACATACAACAACTTCTACAAACTCAGAAAAGCATTGAAGAGGGTTCACACATATATAGTTGGCATCCTACATTATGGACTCCACATTACAAAAGGACCTTTACATTTGGTTGGATTTTTTGATGCTGATTGGGCTACTGACCTTGATGATAGAAAGTCTACAAGTGGTAATTGTGTTTTTCTAGGGTCCAATCTTGTCACCTGGTGTGCTAAGAAATAACCCACCATGTCACGACCTAGCATTGAGGCAGAATTTTTAAGTCTTCTTGCTATCAGTGTCACTTGTGATGTGATATGACTAAGGCCTTTTTTGAACTATGGTTCCCAATGCACAAAACAACTACCATACAGGTTGATAACCTGTGAGTTTTTCAACTTTCAAGAACTCGATTTTCCATTATAAGACAAACATTTTGGTATCTACATGCACTTTGTTCGTGAAAGAATCAACTCCCAATGAGATTATTGTTCAACACATTCCCTCTCTTGAACAAATTGCAAATTTGTTCACAAAGGCTTTAACATGTCAATTCTTTGTCCGACTTCATTCCAAACTAAGCTATAATAGATGTTTAAACGCCTGTGTCTCCTCTTCAACATCTGTATAAACTATATATTTACTTTCCAAAGCCAAGTGCATCATCTGTGTAGCCACATCTCTGCCCTTGAAATTATCTCTCTGCAATTGATCTCTATAGTTATACACATGTCGCTGAGTAGCGTTGTCTTCCGGATACTCCTGGATGTCAGCCACAATTACTACTGTTTTTACCCGAGCAACAGTCATATCACGCACAAGATATTTAAATGAAGCGTTAAGTCCGCTCATTCGCCGATAACCCTTAGGATATACGGCCAATGCATGATTATGGGTTTCCTTAGCACAATTACTTACACGGATGCCCCAAGATGTAGATCGTGCCACTTGTTGGGCTGCTATCTGGAATAGGCAATTGAATGCTTTAGTCTTTGAAATTCTGGCAGCTCGTTTAAATATCCGAAACTGCCTCTACAACGTTCACCTCGTGCACACCTCAACAGCTTCATCCTTCTACCTTTTTTGTGTGAAGAAATGATCAATTCAAACCATATTGAATTGTCATCCTTTGCCTATCTAATAGCTTCTGCATAACTATCAAATACTTCCTCCATAGTGAATACAAGGTTGTCATCAATACGGTTCCCTCCAAAATCTTCGAATGACATCTGCAAAATTTTGCGATGTTAAAAAATACTAGTATATTTCGCAATTGAATTGTACTAGTTTAAATCAAACATAATAATTTACTACATAACAATTTTAACATGAAATTTAAATAATTTTAAACATAATAAATTCTAATTACTGAGTATAATTATTGTCTACTAACAAAAATATACATTGAATAATATAACGATTTGTAATTATATTTTAAAATAATATTTTTTCAGAAATAAAAAATATTTATAATACTAATTAAATTTTTGAATAATGTAAAAAAAAGAATTTACAAGGTAATCAATTTAAATTGTAACATAATAATTTCTATGTTCTAACATAATAATAAATAAAATCTTTACGATAATCAATTCTAATTTATAATTTAATTTCTATATTATAAGATCATAATAAATTCTATGAGATAATAAGTTCCAATTTATAATATAATAATTTTTCAATTCTAACAAAATTTCTATAATAAAAAAATAAAGCCAGTCGACCGGCAATTGCGGCGGTCAACCGACCACGTGGTCTGCTAGCCGGCAATTGCGGCCAATAGTCGTCGTGTGCGGTCGCAATCGTTGACCAGCCGAGATAATTCGTACCTCGTCATCGCTCATTTTTGCCAGAATTTCAAAGAATTTACGATTTTTTGAGTTTTTGTTGGAAAAATACCAAGAACAAAACGGTATAAGGAGAGACAATACATAGTAATAAGTAGGCTGCAAATATTAACATCGATTATCTATTAGCACACGGCTATCTATAAATAGACATATGATAGGCAACCGCCATATACAGTCTCTCTCTGCATATTCAATACAAACAGTAGAACTCAATTTGAGAACACAACTGTCACTGATATAAAGGTAACACCCAATTAGAAACACCCCAGCAAATAGTATTCTCAATTGCCCAACTCCAAACAATAGTCGATATACAAATGCTTATAAAATTAACAAACGCTTCCATCCCTGTGTATGAACTACATAAGCCAAAGTCAACCAACAAACTACAAATCTAAACAAACAACACAACATTCAGTGAAGGATCACGAATATAGCCTATATATTATAAATATATGTATCGGTATCGTGTATTTCTTTAAAACAACAGACCAAACTCAGAGTTGTACCCCTCAAACTAGCAGCAATTAATTTATATAATGGGGCTCCTTCGCTTGAAATTTACATTTGAAAATACACCTATATTACCCAGCCAGAACAGAACTAAAATAACCGCGCTAGTGACACCCACCCACATCCACTGCTGCAGTTTTTTCTTGTTCCGATTACGAAAAGGTGGGGGTATCGATTTTGTCTTGCCTTGTTTACCGAACAACCAATGTTTCTTTGATTTTTTAGATAAACTCAAAGAAGACACATCCTTTGCTTCTATTTCCTTACTATTTTCGCCCGCACTTTCAGAACTCTGACCAATTTCACTATTGTTGCTATCGTTCACACCATCTGTTGCAGCAGCCTTCTTCCTTTCCTTCTTTCTCAGTCTCTTCTCCCTTTCCTACATAAGATCAAGATTCAAGCACGGATATAAGTTATCAGTATTTAGTCAAAATCATTCTACATAGAACAAAATTACAAAACTTAACCTTCAAGTTTGGTCCAACTTCGCAACAAGCAGGGGCGCACCAGCCAATTTTTTTATATGCTACAACTACAAAACACACTCGATTTATCTAAATTTTGAAAATTCAAGTTAAAACTAAAGTTGGGGCTATTTGAAAAGCACAAAACCCATCCTCGAGCAGTCAAAGCTATACATCGACCTTACATTTATACACCAGCTAGCAGTAACCACTAATATCATTGTTCATTTTCACGACTGAACCAGACAACTTTTCTAAACATTATGAAAGAACTCTCAATTTCTCTAAATGTTGGTAAAAGTCAAGGATAAAAGTCAGGACTATTCTCAATATCAAAAAAACCGATGGAGCATGATTGTAAAATAATTGAAAACATCAGCTGTGAACAACTAGCTGTCAGTCATGGCTGCAAGCCAAAATAAATCCCACGAGCAGTTCTTGCAATATCTCAAAGCTAAGCTGGGTTCTCTTCTCGTAATTATCTTCCACAACTTCATGGGCATGGTTCTCAATTA